GGCGGTCAAGTTTAAAAAATCTAAAAATGCAAGTAATCATTTATATTTATAAATATTTTAATGTTTAGCTTACACAAGATTTTGTGAGGTATTGTCAGAAATTGAAACATATTAGTTGGGATGAAGGGGACAGTTAATTAATTCAATTGTTAATCTATTGAAAAAGAAATATAAATAAACTAAGTAAGATTCTCATGTGACCGTTGGATAAATAAACCTACCATTAATGTCTCAAGTGATATTTTATTTGAAAGAGGGTTGGTAACAGTGGGCTCCATAAATAAAACATATCACCATGCCAACTAATAAGGAATGCTTATAATAATATCATACGATAGAGACAATTAATATAGTTTAATGAAATGATTTAAATAGTTTGAGTTACAAAGAATTCCTCCCCCGTAACTAGAGAAGTTATTTATAAAATATAATAAAAATGAATTGTAGAAGATGACTTCTATGGTGGAAAAAGGATGAGCTTTGAGTCATTAAAAATATCATTAAGTGATTGTTAGTAGTCTGCTCTATCATTTTGTTTACAGAAGAGAAAGCATTGGTTACGAAGTGTTGGTGTTAGCCTTGATAGAGATGATGGAGAATCACAATGGTGATAATAATAGGCATCATTGTTAATGTCAATGTTGAGTGTTAGTGTTGGTGGTGATCGTGGGCATTGACTTAAGTGTCAGCATTGGACTTCAATACTGTTGGAGAAGGTGAGCGTTGTTTGTTGATAGTGTGCATCAATCTTATTGGAAAAGACGAATATTGGTGTTGGTGTCCACGATAAACCTTAGCTAGGTTAATCATAACGGGCATCGATCTTATTGTCAATGATAAATATCAAGCTAATTGAAGAAGACTAGAGTCAATGTTAATATTAATGGTGAGCTTAATTCAACTTTGCAAATGATGAACGATATCAACATTTGTGTAGACATCGGGAATCATCATTTATGGTTTTTATTATTTTATAGGCGTTGGTATTCATATTGATAACATGCATCAGCCTCATTAGTGATGCCCAATAATGGCATTGATGTTGATGGCTAGCTTTAGAATTAATATTATTTAAGGAGTCGACCTGAGTTAGCAGGCGTCAATGTTGACAATAATATTGTTGGTGATGTTGAAAACTGATCTTGTTGGTGATGGAAGAAGTTGGTGTTGATGTTTATGGTGGATGTCAATCTCAATATTTTGATCAAATTTTAGTCATAATTAATCTCAAAAAATATAGTGATGATAGAGAAGATCTGAGAAATACCTCTAATGATAGACTGAAAATAAATGATAGATAAGATCTCAGAAATATGTGATGTGCTGTAAATAAAAAAATGTGTGGTAGATATGATAGATAGAAAATAAATGATGGAGATTATTTTGTTAGTTTGATAATGTGTAGGGTCCATATTGAATTCTTAACATGTGTAAATGTGCCACTCTCCTTAATATATATATATATATAACAAATTTAATATATATATATATATATATATATATTAAGGGAGAGCCAAAGTTTTTAAGAGATAAGAGAGTAGAGAAGAAAAGAAGCAAAACTTTTAAAAAGAAGTTTGTCAAAGGAACTTCTATAGTTAATTACTTCCATAAATTATATGTTTTAGCTCAATTCAATCTAATATAATAGGTCACCGTTGACTTCTAATAATATTTATAAGGGAAATTTACATACATATCACTTTATTTCATGCTATTTACATATTTAATACTCAAAACATTAATATTACATATCTACCACATATATAAAACTTTAATATCAAATATATCACTCTTATAATTCATTTCTATCATTCATCTCATCCTATAAACTTTAATACTTCATTCCATACATTCAAATTTGTTCTATGGGTGGTAGGCATGTAATATTAATATTTTGTGTGTTAGATATATAAATAACAAGAAATAAAGTGATATGTATGTAAATCCCTCTATTTATAAATGAACGAATAGTGATAGCAAGACATCTTTTGTACTTGATCATATATAAAAAAATTCTAACTGCAACTTTATACTAAAGTAAAAAAAAAATTAAAATAGTTATATAAAAGAATCTAGTATTCACTAAAATTATTTATAGTCTGCAAAAAAAATATTTATAATATAAAAATAATTGAGGCAAGTTCTTATGAAGAACAAACAACCCTCCAAAAATTAATGTTGGTGAGTGGAGTTGGTGGCAAAGCTTAGTGTGGCGCAAGTCACCATTGGAGTTAGTTTCTCATTCTAACACTGTTGGCGTTAGGTTCGCGCGGGCGGTGGCCAGTTGGAAGCGGGACCTTTCGTTTCTTGATTGAAAATCGATTTAGTTATCTGAAGTTGAGTCGGACTGTTCTTGAGGAGCAATGCTGGGAGTGAAAGTGCGGAAGAGCGTCGGCGTACGAGGAGATTGTATGGGATCATTAAGGCCGCGTAGGGCACAGGTGAATGCTCACGGAGTGGGATTGAGACGAGCAGGGCGCGGGCAATGTGTAGGGCTCAGTGCGCAGGTGGATACATGCAGGGTGTGGTCATATTCATATTGCATGAGTGCAAGGCGCAGGGCTTGAGGCGTAGGGCACGAGCACGAGGCGCAGGATATAGGTGGAAGCATTGGGTGCGAAAGAAAGACGCACATGGTGCATGGTGTTAGACGCGGTGTTTATATATATTAGCTGGGTGCAAGGGCTAGCTAGTCGGAGTGGGAACTGACTGCGTGAGACACAGTACAACAGGACCAGATCTGTCGAGAGGTGGAGGTAAAAGCGCATTAGCATGAAACTCAAGAAGATGGTGGTGTCATTCTTTAGGAGTTGTTAACCATTCAGTGGATGCAATTCGCGGTAAGACCGACGGGGTTATTCTTTGTGGACAACAAATATCATTTTTGTTGTGTAGATATAGGATCAAGGCGGAGATTGTTGGATATTGGTCCAAAATTTATGATTTTACTTTCTTTAGATTCTTGAATGACTTATATTATCATTGGTATAGCTATTTGTTGTCTATAAACAAAGGTTATATGTTGTAGTAGGGTTGATAATTAAGAAATAAAGATTTGAGTTCAACTCTCTACCTTCCTCCTTTCCTATCTCCCTCCTCTCCCAAGAAGCTCAAGAAGGAAGTGCTTCTTCATCTCATTCAAAATCATAATACATTGGGAGCTCTCTCTCTCTCTTTCTGGCTCTCCCTCTCTAAATATAGTTTAAAATTAAGACTTCAGATAATTAATTCAAATTAATAATCTTAAGAATAAAATTAATTTATTTGAACTTAATTCATTAACACTCCTATGGAAGAAATATTCATTTCTAATGAATAACAATATACAAAGCGATATATCTATTCTTTTTTTTACGATAATAAATATAATTATGAATGCATTTTTTATAATTTTTTATGAAAAATATGTCTCATGATTTACAATTACACTGAAAAAAATTAATATTTTTAGAGCAATTTAATGATTAATACAATTTTATGCCCCCATTCAACTGCTCATTATTGTCTTTATGAAATTCATTAATATTTCTTTGAACTCTAGCATTTATCTTACCCAATTAAATCTCATTCATTTCGTCGGCAATGCATGTTGACTCATTGATTACTTCCCAAAATTTACCAGACAATTCCGATCCAATTCATCTCTCTCTCTCTCTCTCTCTCTCTCTCTCTCTCTCTCTCTCTCTCTTCTCTCTCGCAGGCCTTGAAACAACAATAGTAACGGCTACCCCCCCCCCCGCCATAAAACTCCAACGGTCAATTAATTGCTTACTCAACGGAAATGGCAAACGGTCCGCTTCCCCATAATGATCACGTGATCCTCCTCTCCTATCTCTCTTCTCTCTCTTCTCTCTCTCTCTCTTCGACCCGTTACAGCCCTACTCGCTCCTTCCACCTCCTCGTGACCGGCGCCGCAACGGGCTTCTCCTTCCTTTTCTTTAGCCACGCGTCTTCCTTTTATTCGCTCATTCTTCTCCCTCCACATGCTGTGCCCATTCCTATTTATTCCCCCTCCACTCTCTCCCTGTGAATATTTATTGCTCAGCTCACCAATGGCAAACCGCTCGCCGCCGGCGACCTTTCTTCTATTCATTGCGGCCGTTGCCTGCGGCGCCGCTGCAGCAGCCCGGCATAACTACTCGGATGCCCTTTACAAAAGCATACTCTTCTTCGAGGGGCAGCGCTCCGGCCGTCTCCCACCATCCCAACGCATCTCCTGGCGCCGCGACTCTGCCCTCCACGACGGTGCCTCCGTCGGTGTAAGCTCTTCATCCTTTCCTCCACTTTTCCTTAACAATGACGCATAAGTTGTCAAAAAATAAGCTCATTTTTCATGAAAGCTTTTGTTTGTTTGAATAATGTGAAAATGTGAGTTATTCAGCTTGTTTTTTTTAAATAGAACTAGTAAAAATATTTCCTAAGCATATTAATGAACTTGATTATGTTCATGTTAGAAGAATAAAAAAACTAAGGCACAGCTCCATGCCATAAACAGTTCATTTATTCTTCCACTCTTTCGAGCAAAATAATAATTTTTTACTAGGTTCGATAAAACTGTGTGTCAACTTTTCCAAGTTATACTCGCTCAGGTAGCTATCAAATGAAAAAAAACCCATGCTTTGCTCTGTTAGTACAGATAAAGCAGAGGAAAAGCCAAAAAAAGTTTAAAAAAAAAAAAAAGAACTCTGCTCTGCTCTGTTTGATACAGGTAAAGCAGAGAACAGCAATAAATTAATCTAACTTTTCGATCAAAATAGTAAACATATTAGACACTTATATAAAAAAATTTTAAAATTTATTAAAAGATTCATTTTAGTAGCTTCATCAATCAAAATGAAAAAAAAAACATTTTTTAATACCCCTTAGATTTAATCTACTATGTTTATTCTAATAAAAAAACTGAACTTTTTTTAATCAAAAGATTTTCAATTTGTTTACTAAAGAAGCGTATCTCTCAGGTAGACCTCACCGGCGGCTACTACGACGCTGGCGACAACATAAAATTCGGCTTCCCCATGGCCTTCACCACCACCCTCCTCTCCTGGAGCGTCATCGACTTTGGCCACACAATGACACCCAACCACCTCTCCGACGCCATCACCGCCATCCGTTGGGCCACCGACTACCTCCTCAAAGCCACTTCCATCCCCAACACTCTCTACGTTCAAGTCGGCAACGCCTTCCGCGACCATTCTTGCTGGGAACGCCCCGAGGATATGGACACCCCCCGCACAGTCTACAAAGTCGACGCTTCCCATCCCGGCTCCGACGTCGCCGGCGAAACCTCCGCCGCACTCGCCGCAGCCGCCGTCGTTTTCCGACTCCGCGATCCCGACTACTCGGACCGACTTCTGCAACGAGCTGTCCGCGTGTTTGATTTCGCGGATCAGTATCGCGGGGCCTATAGTTCAAGCCTACACAATGTCGTGTGTCCGTGTTACTGCGACTTCTCAGGTTATAAGGATGAACTGCTTTGGGGCGCGGCCTGGCTGCATAAGGCGACGAGGAGGAGGGAGTATCGGGAGTACATTAAGCGGAACGAGGAGGTGCTTGGTGCCAGCGACACGAAACACGAATTCGGATGGGATAACAAACACGCAGGCGTTAACGTGCTCATCTCCAAGGTATGTTTACGTTAACTTCACACACCGGTGACCTGATCCAATCCAGTTTTTTCCCGTCGGTACGGCCGTCTCGAGAATCAAGATTGTTTTGACCGTTGACTTCCCGAATAGAATCTGCTTTTCTGTCGGAAAATTTAGCCCCTTTCGGTCCATCCCTGAAAAAGGGGATTGTTTTTGCAAATTGATATTGTTTGGGGTGGCTTGTGCACAGGAAGTGCTGATGGGGAAGGACGACTATCTCCGGTCATTCAAGGAAAACGCCGACGATTTCATCTGCTCTCTTCTCCCCGGCGTCTCCTCTCACCCAGAGATCCAGTACTCTCCAGGTAAATCTTCTTTGCACAAATACCTTCAAACAATTAAAAATTCCAAATTTCAGCCAATTTATTTTTCACATTTGCATCTTTCCTGCAACTGAAGGCGGTCTGCTATTCAAGACTGGAGGAAGCAATATGCAGCATGTTACTTCCCTCTCCTTCCTCCTCCTCGCCTACTCTAACTATCTCAGCCACGCCAATAGCCATGTGCCATGTGGAGCATCCTCGGCCTCGCCGGCTGAGCTCAGGATGGCGGCCAAGCGCCAGGTACCGATAACCTACCTGATAATTTTACCTGATGATTTTCTAATAACCCATAACCTACCTACCTGATAACTTTACCTGCAGGTGGACTATATTCTGGGAGATAACCCGATGGGAATATCATACATGGTGGGTTATGGGAACAGGTACCCTCAGCACATACACCATCGGGCCAGCTCCTTGCCTTCGTTGGAGGCGCATCCGGGTCGGATCGGGTGCAAAGCAGGTGGCGCCTACTACCTGAGCCCAAAACCGAACCCAAATCTACTGATCGGGGCGGTCGTGGGCGGGCCGACCAATATCAGCGACATATTCCCGGATGCTCGGCCCATATTCCAGCAGTCGGAGCCGACCACGTATATCAACGCCCCACTCGTGGGCCTTCTGGCCTACTTCTCGGCCCACCCATATGATTGAAAGCATTTGAAAGGAAAAATGTATAGAGTAGTTATCATTGCAATTTGAAAGGGGAGATGCAATTATTAGAATGTAGACCCGATTAAAAGGTTTATTCTTTTGAAAAATTAGTGGCAGTGAGATCTTTCTTCTTTGTGAGCCTCATTGATTGTTGGTTTAAGTTTAATACAAATAATTTAATTATATATGTAATAAATACATATTGATTACTTTTTTTAGAAAAATTAATAAAAATATGATTAAAATACACAATTAATGTTGTAATGATATTGGATTAAAAAAGTCATTTCTTTCTAATTTATTCATTTAAAAAGTAATGTATAGTTTAATAGACAAATTTCTATCACTATGATCTTAATATTACACTACCAATAATGAAGAGAAATATAAGAACGAGCAACAAAAGGGATATCCTTACTGATTTTGTAAGAAATCTTACTGGCATAGTTAAAATTATGAATCTAGATCTTAGTACTTCAAAGCAAGGCTTTAAAATAGGATCGGACTAACCAACTGGCTGGTTAGGGTGTACTATAAAACCAGTTTCACACAAAACCGCTATTGAACCGTTCTAACCGGTGGTTTAATCGCTGAACCGCTAAACCAGTCTCAATTTTGAATAATCGGGCTGTTCATTTGAAAAATGATTTGAGCTGTTCAAACCAAATCCAATGGCCTAAAATTAACTAGGGTAAAACTTATACTTTTTCAAAATGAAAACAAAAAACAAAAACCTTACTGTAGTTTTCTTTATACGCTTCTTCTGGTTCGTTTTATTCGTCGTCTGGTTCTATTTCGCAAAGCCACAAGGAAGAAGGAACCGAAGAAGCGCGTACTCAACTCCGCACCGACCCATTGTTGTTAGTTCATCACTTCTTCTCCTCGACCCTCGCTCTCTACTCTATTCTCCTCGCATTCACGATGTGTTCTTTAATTCTTGCATTTACTATTTAATTTTGAGAGGCTTTTTTTATTAGCATTTGATACTTGTAGATTGAAAAAGATGTTGTGTTCTTTCATTCTTAATCTGATTTCTTTTGAAAAAAGTCCTTATTTTTTTTTGAAAAAAAAAAAAAAAAACTTCAATCATTTGCTAAATTTCAAAAATAGATTAGATGTAGGAGACTTATTTTTTCCTTCTTAAAACTCCAGAAATCAATTAGAGGGAGAAGAATCATACTTTTCATTACTTTTATTTTGCTTCTAAGAATTTTATCTAAGGGAAACTATTCTGCCAATTTTTTTATGGGAGATGTACATACATACCATCCTATACTATTCTATTTATATATTAAACACCTAAAACTTTAATATTACATACATACAACCCATAGTTCATTTTCATATCAAATATGAGTGATAAAAATAAAATATATGAATAGTAGGAAGAAAATATGAGTGGTATATTTAATATTAAAATAATATAGGATGATATGTATATAATATTAAAATTTTAAATATTAGATATGTAAATAAAATGATATAATATGATATGTATATAAATTTCCCTTTTTTTAATTATAAATGCAGCTTATAAGCCAACCCTTAAACAACAAAAATTTTTATACTTCATATTATAATTCTTTTCCATTTTTATTATATATTTATAAATAGTTATATCATTATTATAATATTTAAATATAATAAATATTGATTACATCATCCTATTTGACTCGAATTTAACCCCAATCAAACCATCAAACAGCTAACCTCATTGGCCCATCCAACTTACAAAGCCTTTCCCCAAAGTGAAAAATTCCCATATGGAATAGAAAGCTTTAAAATATACAAAATAATAATCTGTAATACGGAAGAGCCCACTGACCATCTATAATAAAATAAGAAACTAAAGCTTATTGAGGGCAGTGAAAAAGGCCCCGGACATTAAGGCCAAAATGTTCCACAAGACAGTGGCCCTCCTTCCAAAAAAAAATGGCAGCCCATAACCAAAAGTCACATTGTATTCCATCATGTCTCAACTTGTAAGCACTGTGATGCGGAAACATTTTAGCCTATCTTATGCTTAAGGACTAATTTATCTCCTTTAGTCTAGAGTCTTCTATTTAGGGACTAGTTTATCTCCTTTAGTCTAGAGTCTTCTATCCACTACATCACACTACCATTACAATATTTTTTAATAAGGGAAGGAATAATTTGGAGGTTTTGCCCACATATATTAACATATACTTCAATGCACCAGCTAGAAAGGAGAGAATAATAGCAGACTCTCCAGATGCTTTTTGCCTTGGCTAAAATCTAACATGTCATTAGAGCAGTACCATCTGCACTTAATATAAAACTTATATCCACCTTTACTTAACTTGATTGATGGACAAATACGATTGAAAACCTCCAGTCTGTGCTCGATTCCCTTTGAGCAATCTGCACCTCTAAAGTGGGGCGCAATCAAATACGTGCCAGTAAGTTTCTGGAGTTGGTGCCTCTTCTAAGTCAGCCGAAGATTAATCACGCCGTCAAACATCCTTTCAAATTATACATTGACAAATTTGTTGAAAATTTTAGTGAGGATCAGCTAACAGTCATAGATGATATATTATACCACACCCTTAAACAAAACTACAGTAACTAGAAGGTCGTAGGCGTTCGTTTTTCTTTTTCACTATTAAGGGTATAAGGTATCCGAAACATATAAAGAAAAACAGAAATATACACCAGGCATACGAACGTCAAGGCTTAATCCATATTCTACTGCAGCTTCTTTTTTGCTTTTACAACCATGAAAAATTAGCAGATGATCATGGACAGATCCCGAGAGGTTAGCCAGCTAGCACATTCACGATGTATCCATAGCTCCTGCATGATAAGTTTCCAGCTCCTTGTCCAAATCTTCCGCAGTTTTCCTAACTAGTTGCTTGCCACCACGCCCTCGCCCACGACCGCGGGTGCCACCGCGTCCAAGTCCACGGCCGCGGCCACGTAAGTTGCGCCCACGAGCAATGCCAGCGTCTATGGTCTGTCCCAGGCTATGGCCTCGGCCCCGACCTCTCGCACGATTCCACCTTTCAAAATAATAGAATTAAAAATTAGCTCAAACTAAAAACATGCATAATTAACACATGCGCAATAGCATCGAAAATGCATCTAGAATGGTTTTTCGTCAAAGAAAATAAAATTTCTGTCAGTTATTCAGTAAAAGGTGGTTTTTGCATGCAAAAAGAGTCATTTGATTTAAGTGAATTCCGTTGTCATATCAGCTCAATCTTCATCCACAATCATAATTGTCTGCAAATCTTTTCTTCCATGAAGATCCACCTTCAGGAGCCACCATGACTGCCGCTCTCCCTTAAGATCTCCTCCCTTGTGATCCACCTGCTCGTCCTCCCCGACGTGTGTCTCCTCCGCATGTCATGCGATCCATCACCTTCCACCGGACAAGGAGCAAAGATCAACATGGCAGCCATTTCTCTTTTTTGCACATGCAAATGCCTTTCATTTCACCTTGCTCGCTGCATACTTCCATTCATCTCCCTTCCACTCCTAATGCCACTAGGCATTTCTCTGCTTGCATATAAAAATCTAGAGCTCCGAAAGATATGTGATAGGAAGTGCTTATAGATCTAAAGTATTTCCTATCAATCTTCGAAAAAAAACAAGCTTTGTCCACCAAAATTCACACAAAATCACAGAAACAGTAGATAATCTGTATTATTTGATAAAAGGGAAACGGAAAATAACAAGATACAATTGATCCTCTATTCGAGAGGAAGATCGATCTCTCCCAAATCTCTAAACGCCGCTAGAGCCCAAAAAAAACCTAAATCTAAGAGATCTCAAATTTCAGCCAAATTCAAGATGTCCTAACCCTAGAAAAACAAACTATTTAATGCATACAAATCAAAAGGAAATCCCTAAACAATTCCTATGTTCAATTTCCCTCCTAAAATTCTTTCAAAAACCTTCCTAAATGGCCCTCGTGGACTTGCAATGCATGCGGCTAAAGCAAGAGGCAGAGATGTTCCGCCTCGTTCGTGCCTGGGCCGGTCCCACGTGGACCGGCTGGACCGGTCCAATGGACCGGTTTAACAATATGTTGCCCTCGCAGGTTTTGTAGGACTATCAGTAGAATGGCATCTTCCTCAACTTACCCTCTTTTTCAGTAATTTGTTTACATTATTTTAGCCATCCATTTTGATATCCAAAGTGGAAATTTGATTAAGAACAACTCGAAAGTGAACTTTGACTACGCAAATTCAGCAAAGTGATCATAGTGATTAACTAATTGCATTGGGTTTTTAACATCAGAACTGACAATTATTAACGTTCCTAATAAGCTGCTTAATAATTGAATGGAACAAGCTTCTTGCATCTGCACTTTGCTCAAGCAATCAAGAATCTTACTGTAAAAAACAGTTAAAAGGTAAGCTTACAATTGCAAGTCAGTGGAGTATTATAGACTAAATTTTACACGCAAACAAACAAGATAATCAATGCTACATAGGTTCTTTGCCCTACTCTCCTCTTCCGCTCCAATCCCACTAGTATGGAGAGATCAATCCTTCTGCATGGGTGGATATAAATATAGATTATTTTGAAATGGGTCCCTCATAAAGCCAACTCTATGCGATCCCGTAAGGCAATGGGTTGGCCCTCTCTAATAAAGAGTTGAAAAAAGATGTGGTAGTAGAGTGAATGCAACAGAGAGAGGATGGTGTTGCACAATAATATTGAAAAATCTATACAACACTTTCAGAAAGATACTTCAGTTTTTTGGTTGAATCTAATGGCAAAAGAACCTTATATGGGAATTACTACAAAGCATGAAGAAACAAGATATAGTTAGGAAGAACATAAATCCTTGTTGTAGAATCCTATCTCAGATGAACTGATGAATGCTTGGAATCGATTAACAAATATAACCCTAACATGGAAAAAATGAGAAGAAAATATATAGTTTGTAATTTCAACAAGAAATGTTGATGATTAAAAACAAAAGTCAAAACTACATGGATTGGTGCAAAATAATCATAAAAAATTTAACATCTCTTTCAACCATCATCAGAAATCTGAACCAATGTTCATGTTTTGTGAGATCACACATAATGTAGGTATTAATAGGAACAACTAGATTTGTTGACTAGGCCCTAAATAACAAGGGAAATTATGAATATACAAAATACAAGGCAAAGTTCAAAACACCTGCAGGAATTTGCTTGTTAGCATCCAAATTTTATTTTGTACATAACATAGTAAAAGGAAGAAGCAGAAGCCAAATAAGACAGGCAGATAGGAGGGAAAGCGGTTATTGAGCAGCAGCCATAGAGCAATAACAAGTAAAAATAATAACTAGCAAGTAAATCAGAAATAAATGTCTATAACGTTAATATCAGCCAAGTCAAGAGATTAAAAATAGCATATTAAGGTTTATCCAATCACGCAGCTGTATTAATCCTAGATTAAATTGATAATGGTTAGAAATTGGTCGAGAAGCCTAACTTAAAAGAAGACACGGAAAAGGGAAACAGCCAAAAAAAAAGTATTCCAAGAAACAAAAGAAAGCTATATGAAGTTTCAAATAACTAAAACTACAACAACATCAGTACATTACCAAGCATTTATCCTACTACGTTGGGTCAGCTACATGAATCCTTTTTCTCCATCGTGTCATGTAAAGAGTCAAATTCTCATTTAAATTTAATAAAAAAGGTCATTTATAATACTTTCTAAAGCCTTTTTATGTCTACATCTACGTTTCTTAATATAGATCAGATCTAATATATCTACACTCTCCTAACATGGTAGATTCAAATAACTAAAAAAATTATTATTCATAAGTTCGGCGATGATTGTTCTGAAGAGTGTTTAAACGATAAAAAAAACCTAAAGATGCATATATCCACAACAAGCGTCACATACAACCACCAAAAGCCCAATTTACATAATTAAATACCTCAAGAACCATATATTCCACGTATAGAAAAAAAATCATAAACAATGTATGGGTTATAAAATACAGAAATAAATATTATTGTAAAAATAAATTAGGAGATAAAAAATTTTTGGGAACTGTTGACTGGCATGGAAGACAAACAAAAAGCTCAACTATGTGCTATTAAGCACCTAAGACAAGCACAGAACCACATGCTCATCACACATGCTTTACTGGCAGTGCTCCTTACCTAAATTTTGCATCTAAATGTAAATCACCCGACTAAAAGACAAGCTCGACTAAGCTAAAAATAAGAGAAATAGTATAACCCAAGCGTTACTGCATACTTCCAAAGATATCCTACACAAAAACTTGCTTCATTGAAAGAAGGGATAACGACAGGCAACATTTTCAGCTGCATGAAGATGCACTAGATTTAGACTACTTGAGTTAAACTATAATCTAAAATTACAATGAGGAAGCATGAAAGTTGTTCCCATTTGGACGATATTTGAGGCATTTTAAGCTTTTCTGTTTTGCTTTTGCTTTTTGAAGCTTATTTCTAAGACACAATTTCAAAACTATTTTTTCAAAACCAACTTTTTAAAAAACAATTTTCAAAAAACAGTGGAAAAAGCTGTCTTACAAACGTACATTATTTTTTTATTAATTGCTTTTCTTATCACAAATATGATAAAAAAAAGTTATTCCAAACGACGCCTATGAATAATATGCATCTGAACTCTATATAATATATGATAAAACTTGTGATTTATAGCTCCATAAAAAATGAGAACTCTAGAGGGCAAAATATGAAAAATTAAAAGAAATATAAACCATGGACGAAATAGTGTTTTAGAAAGAATAAAACATTGTTAACTCATGCTTCCATTTTTATAATAAATAAGCTGATGAAAAAAGTAGATTGCATTTAAACGGAATATTACACAGCGTGCTAAATGCTAGTTCACAGAGTATCAGAAGCACTTATAAATGCTTTCCCCATTGATTTTTTTTTTCCATACGGAACAAAATTTTGGTGACATGGCGTTTGGTCAATTATGTGGAGAGAGATATAAGAGCATGCACAGGGCACTCATGAGAAAAACAAGGGCCTATATCTCTAACACTACTACGATCAACATAAGGAAGCAATCCCCATCCAAAAAGATGACAATATAACTCACTTCTTCCCCAAAAGTGCCTCAAAATCCATTCAACCGATATGTCACTGATTGGGAGGAAAGGTACTTAGGAATGTCAGCATGGTCAAGCCTGTGCATAAGCCTAGCCATTTAAAAGCCCAATGGGGTGCTTCCACTGGGGAGGTCCTCAATACGCAACTTTATAGTTTCAACAATAGCTACTGACGCCAATCAAAATGATAGGAACACTTGTAGATCTCAAGTATTTCCTATCAATTTTCGGAAAACAGCAAGAATTCTCCACAAAAAGCTGCACAAAATTACAAAAACAGTAGATAATTTGTATTATTTGATGAAATAGAAACGGAAAATATCAATATACAATTGATCCTCTATTCGAGAGGAGAATCGATCTCTCCCAAATTTCTAGACGCCGCTAGAGCCCAAAGAAAACCTAAATCTAGGAGACCTAAATCTAGGAGATATCAAATTTCAACCAAATTCAAGATGTCCTAACCCTAGGAAAACAAAATATTTAATGCATACAAATCAAAAGGAAATTCCTCCCTGCATTCAAATTCCCTCCTAAACTTTCTCAAAAATCCTTCCTAAATCAGCTGCTTGGCGCTTGCGGTGTGGTCGGCTACCGAAAGAGGCGGGCATCTCCGGCTCAGTTCCGCCTGGGTCGGTCCCGCGGGGACCGGCTGGATCGATATAACAATACTCCCCTCCAAAAGATCCACCTAGTCCGCAAGGTGGAAAGACGACACCCTCCATTCCTTCTTCATCATAAACGATAAGAACCTGAAGAGTTTGGTCCTTACACATATGCCCTGGTGTATACCTCTTGTCACATCTGAAACAGAGCCCATTCGCCCTCTTCTCCTGTAATTCTGTCTCTGTGAGCTTCTTGAAGTTATCCCAAGGTCTTCCTCCTACAGTCTTTTCCTTCGAAATCCCCCGAAGTGTCTCCGGTGTTGGCTCCTTG